GAGAGAGAGAGAGCGAGAGAGAGAGAGTAGGGCCATAGGAACAAACACCAACACATGTGAGACTAGATCCTCACAGATCCGGACAATGGGGATCTGTCTTGTTGTGTTTGGGGGAGTCTCCAAAGTCCTACCCAACCCAGGGGTCCGGTTATAGTCTACAGATGGGAAAAGGGGGGAACATGCAGAACAATGAGAATCTATTGAAATTGCTGTGGGGTGAACAGGTGAATCTACTGAAAATTAGCCAGGCAAGATGAACACAATGAAGAATAAGTTCATTGAAGTTACTGGAGAAGAACAGGTCATGTCATTCTCCCCCTCACTCCCTGTGAGAGGGGTCTCAGTCTCAGTCCTTGGGGAGAGGGTTCTCGATCTCTGTCTGTCCCGGTGGTAATGAGGCAGATGAGGGGTCTGCAGTGAGAGACCACCAGGGTCACCCCTAGAGTTCATTTGGCTTAAAGGTGGAGAGTGAAGCAGGAGTTGCAGCAGGACGCCCATGCTGGGTCCATGCCGAGTCATCATCAAGTCCTTGCCAAGTTTTTGCCAGGCCTCATTTGGAACAGCTGGCGTGAGGGTGGAGTGGCTGCACCTGCACTGTTGCCTTCTCAAAGCCAGAGCTGCAGCGGCGGGTTTTTCCTTCTCATGGCAATCGACAGGTAAATGAGTGAGGGTCTTCAGACGGCCTCATACAACAGACCAAAGTTCACCCTCTGGAAGTCCTGAGTAGAGGATTTGTTGATTTCCCTTCCTTTACAGAATATTGAAAACCCTGTCATTTCATAGTTGCTGTGCCCAACATGGTCTCCAGTTACCACATCTCCCAGCAGCACTGCTCTGGTTGCAAACAGCAGGTCTGCTGGGGCCCCAGCCTTGCTCGGCTCCCTTTTACTTTGGCAGCTTGGAGAGCATCTGCAGGGGGGGAATGATTGCAGAGAGACCAGGCCTGAATGCAGCAGAGAGATTTAATGGGGCACAAAGACACAAAGAAACTCAGCACAAGTGCACAACAGCAGTGCTGGCAGCCCGGGGCCATCTGAGAGTCCGTCCTCCTTGGCACTGCAGAGGTTCCC